ATTACCAAAGAAAAGCAGGCCCACCAAATGCAGCGATTTTAGACTAATCAGTTTGATGAGTCACACACTGAAGATACTCTTACGAATTATACAAAACCGAGTATTCCTTCTATGCGAAAGTAAGATGGGTGATAAGCAATTTGGATTTAGAAACGGTCTAAGAACTAGAGAGGCACTATTCTGTATGCGCGTTCTATTACAAAAAAGTTGTGAATTCCGAAAGAATGTTTATGTTTGTTTCATCGACTTCGGGAAGGCGTTCGACAGAGTCCAACACAATACACTTTTCGACTGCCTACGGGCAGCAGGACTTGACCACTATGATATAAGACTGCTGAAATACTTATATTACAATCAAGTAGCCTCTATCCAAATTGGAGACAGTCCCACTGAAAAAATACCCATCAAACGTGGAGTACGGCAGGGTTGTGTTTTGTCACCCACTCTTTTTAATCTGTACTCTGAAGAAATCTTTAGGGAGGCTTTGGATGACAGACAAGAGGGAGTAAGACTAGGTGGAGAAGTAATCAACAATATTAGATACGCTGACGATACAGCCATTCTTGCAGAAAGTTTACAAGATCTCCAAACATTACTAAATCTAGTCAGTGAAGCAAGTTATCGGAGAGGCCTAAAAATCAACATTTCAAAGACAAAGTGGATGGCAGTTGGAAAGATCCATATAGATCAAGGTCTGCTTTCTCTTAATGGAGAAGAGATAGAAAGGGTAAATCATTTCAAATACCTTGGCAGCTGGTTAAATGTAAATTGTGACTCTGATGAAGAGATAATATCCAGGATCGAAATATCACGTAAGGCTTTTATGACCTGGAAACCAGTTTTATGCAACAGAAACCTGTCAATGAACATTCGTAAGAAGGTCCTGAAATGTTATGTGTGGTCGATCCTATTGTATGGTTGTGAGACATGGACGTTAAAAACCACAATGCTAAACAAGTTAGAAGCATTCGAAATGTGGTGCTATAGACGAATCCTAAAGATATCGTGGGTTTCACACACTTCCAATGAAGATGTTCTTCAAATGATCAACTCAGAACGTCTGCTCATAAACATCATAAAGAGGAGAAAAACAGAATACTTCGGCCACATAATTAGAGGACCCAAATACCATTTACTTCGCCTTATTATACAAGGAAAAGTGGAAGGAAAGAGATGGATTGGTCGAAAGAAACTTTCATGGCTGCGTAATATTAGACAATGGTGTGGTTTCACAGTAGAAGAATTATTTCGCGCAGCAGCCGACAGAGAAAGGTTTCAGGAAATTGTAAACATGATGACGGCCAACGTCTGAATACGGACACGGCACCCAAAGAAGAATTGTTTATAAGCAAAAAAATCGACATGTTTTTGCAAAATTATTTTGCAATATTTAAAATTAATTTTCCTAATTTTTTTTAATGTAAATAATAAAACAAGTCTTCTTCTACCAGAAACAACCCTTACAATTTCTAAAGCTGTATAAATTTCTGACTTATATTGTTGCAAAAAATGTTAATTTGGGATAAACAAATAAAATAACTTTTAAACTATTAGACCGATCACTTTGAAATTTTAACCTTATTTTAAGCACTACAAGACACATCATTCCATGAAATATAAATATTATAAGTTTATTTTCAAAAAAGTTATTAACATTTATAAAAAACCGAAATTTTTGACTTATTTTGCAACTTTCTAAACAACAAATAAGGATAGAAACATTTTGAGAACGCCATTTTGAAGCTTTTTATATAACTTATAAGTTTCCTTTCTTCTAAAATTTGTTTAAATTGCTTCACTTTTTGCTGATAGACGAAAAAAGCAAAAATTTTCCGTTTTTTGAACTTAACTTGTTAATAACTAATTTAGTCCAAAAAATCGACTGCAGGAAACATATAGGTTTTTGTTACAGAGGTCCACACTACTCAAAACAACTGTCGTTTGCCTGGCCGGACGAGTGTCAAAAACAGGGTACTTTTTTTGCTTATTTCCCTGGCCTAAAAATGGCACTGAATCATATAGAACAGATGAAAAAAAAACAATGGAATTCCGAAGTCCACTATAGAATTTAAATTAAAACATCCGGAACATAAAGATACACTTCCGTCTCCTATTGTAACTTGCAAGGAGGAGAATACTCTGGTTAGGTACGTTCATTAAATTTATCTTAATCCATAGCATTATTTAATTTTACATTCAATATTCCAGATGTACAACAAACCGCTTCAAAAGGTTTCCCCAAAAATGCTAACGATTTAAAAAAGCAGCGTGCAAAAATTTTTAACCGAAAATCCGCGCCCCAACAACTTAAAAGATAATCGACCTGGAGATGGATAGTTAAAAGTAAGTCACCAAAAAATGTATTTTAATCTGTATTTATTGTTTGATTTTTTTTAAGGTTTTTTGAAGCGACATCCAGAGGTTTCTAAAAGGACAAGTGAAGGTGAGACGGCAGCTAGCGCTTGTGTATCTGAACGAGACATCAAAAACTGGTTTAAAAATATTGAAAACTATGTTAAAGAAAAACATCTAGAAGAAGTTCTAACTGATCCATCAAGAATTTTTAATGGAGATGAGTCAGGATTTCAAATACGTCCATCTACTGGAAAAGTATTTGCTATGAAAGGTTAAAAAAATGTAGGTATATAATTTTGAAAAAAGCTGTTCAAAAGAAAATGTCACTGTGATGTTTATGTTTTCAGCAGACTGTAAAATTTGCGTGCCTATGGTTACATATTCTAGACATAATATCAACATATTCCAGAAAAAGTTGCTAAAGGTATTAATTCTAAACGGGGTGTGGGCAGAAGCGATAATGGTTGGATGATGGCAGAGACATTCTATCAGTATATTGCGAATGTTTTTTACCGCCACCTAATTGAAAATAATATTAAGCTTTCAGTTATTCTTTTTGTAAATGGGCACAAGAGTCACTTAAGTTAACAATTAAGTCTATTGTGTAATGAGAGAATGGGAAGAACAGCATCCAGGAGGGGTAGTGAATAAGGTTGTATTTTCTTCTATTGGAGCAAGCTACAAAAAAAGCTGTAAAACTGAAACGGTAATAAATGGTTTCAAGGTTTGCGGAATGTTTCCATTAAAAGCAGATGCTATTGACTACACAAAATGTTTAGGTAAAGATGTAGTAAAAAATTTAATCATTTCAGATCATCAAAAGAAACCTAAGATGAACTATAATACTTTCGTAAATATCTTAGGTCCTGAAAAAGTTCATAGCTTAGAGAATTTAAAAGAAAATCCAAAGAATAATCTACCTAGCGATGACAATTTGAATTTGTTGTTCAAAATTTGGAATTTTTTTGAACATGATCCAAAAAATTTGAATAACCCAATGGTTCTAAAAAATAGGGATACAAACATAAATATTATTCAAAATCTAGTTATCACATCTCCTGTTAAAAGTACTGAAATATACATCAGAACAAAGTGGTAGTGAAAATGTATGGTAACTGTATGGTTTACCCTATTGAATTGTTTTATTATGAATAGAGTTTTGTATTGTCTATTTTATAATGTAATGGTGAGTAAATTTAAGCTAAGAAAAATTGTTTTGAAATTTTTTCTTAGTTCTTCAAACCTTTTTCATTCAACATTTTTACCTTTTCTCTACTTTCAAAGATTATAATACAAACATTTAAAGTTAACTATCTCAATAACTGTTAGATTTAGGTATAGAAAGTAGATAACAAAACTTAAAGATCAATTAAAGTTCTTTCTAATAACGTAATAATACATAGCGTGATCAATTTTTCCATACACAAAAGTTGAGAAATTTTTAAGCTCACATTTTGAATCACCTTGAATATTAAATATAATTATATCCACAAAATGTTAAAATTTCCTTAAAATAAAATTATATTTAAAATAAGGAAGTTTTAGTCAATGTCCGGTATACCATGATTATTATGGAAAATATTATTTCTAAAATTAAACATTTCTTTTGTTTCTTAACAATTTAAAACTGGATAAGACTTAAAATTGTAGGAGACAAATAAAATTGTAAAAAGACACATATCTAAGTATACTATAGAGATAAAATTAACTAAGTACTAACCCCCTTTCAATTAAAGCTACATTTCCTTCTATATCATCCAAATTATCAGGAGGTTTACATCCATTTTTTGGTAGAACAGGTACGAGTGGAACATTTTTTATATGGAAAGAGGAATTCTAAAACACAAACAAATTAAAGTACACACGAAACACAGGTGTGCATTTATATAATTACAAATGGGGCTCCAAAATCTAATGCAGGTCTAAGTCTATATGTGTATTCCAGCTGAACAGGATCTACTATTTCAAAAAATACATATCCATTAATAAGATCTGCAGAAGAAGTTCCATCCATGTGATGTAGGTTGTTGGCTACAATTGAAACATTTGTTATTGATATATTATGTATTGATATTTACTTTTAAACCTACCACCGCAATTGATTAATATAATATACGAACAAAAATGTATCAGTTTTACAACCATATATTGGAAATATTTTGGAAAATTCATCCTAATTTAGTTTATGATGTTAGAAGTATTTAGTATTGACTGAAAAGCTAAAATATTTTAAAATGAAATGAATGATTGGTTGAAGCAAAAATTACAATTGTTTGTATAATCATCAGTGTTTGTATTTAACACGAAATTCCGATAAAAATCAATTTGATATTTTAATTTGTCTTGAAAATTCTAGAACTTTGTTTTCTGCAGGTACAATTGTCAAATTTTGAGGTTAAGGACATTAAAAACTTATTACCTTGGTTGTAGCTAAAGTTACGTACAGCCGTAAAATTAATTTATAGCTTTTATAATGTACTATAAAAGCAAGATAATCTTTTTATTTATTTAGCAACCTTATTCAATTATGTAATTATAGTATATTTGCCGCATATAGAATCAATAAATATTTTTTTATGTATATTTTAATCATAGTGAATTTACAGTGTGATTGTGTGAGTAGTAACTTCCATTCGTTAAATAGTTGTCTGTTGTCTTGAACATCATCCCTCTTGCAAGTACAAGTCTCACATTTAAAATTTATAGACAGACTCCATAAATCATAATACAACTTTTTAAAAAATATCAAATATTAACATTTATTATGCTTTGGTGGTTATAAACTCTTGTACTATTCTTCGATAACTAAAAATGGAAGGAAACATAATCGAATCAACAGAAAATGAAGAAATTAAATCTACTGCTGTTGTAAAGTATTCTTTGCCAAAACTAGCACCATTTACAAAGTTACAGTGCAATACCGATTTAAATTTACCCCCTTCAAATTGGCTTAGCAGCTCCGCGGATTCATATGGTTTACAGCATGTTCTTACTCATCCAAAAGGATTTTCAAGGTAAATAATTTGTTTTAGTTTTATTAGGCCTATGTTCAAATTTACAGTAGTTGTTTTTTCTAGAGTGTTAACTGTTTATCAAACCATCAAAATAGTTTATTTTAAATATTTTCCTTTATTCTATTTTGTACATAGTTGAATTGGTGTGCACAGTTTTTATACTTAAATGTAGTAATAACCAACCAGGAAGAACCCAGTAGATCTGATTTGTGAATATTTGCATATTTATTTTTAAATAAACTGTTAATTTTTTATGTTTTAACTACATTATTGGGTAAACATACTATATTTTATTAATATTTAAAATTTTTAGTTTCAAAATGGCACACATGTTTCCAGATTGCGTTGGAGAGGTCGATGTAGTATCTGATGCAGAAAATATTAAAAAGCTGCTGAAAATTCCATACCATAAGAAAGGTCATATAAGCATGATGGTCCATCGCATTGAAAATACATTACTGATAGATGATTTTGACATTTACAAACATCTCTTAAGAACAGCAGAAACAGAATGGGAATGGCTGAGAAAATTTTTCGTTGATAATATTAGCAGAGCAACATATGAAGAGAACAAGCACATTTACATCAATAGCAGAAGAAGAGAAGCTTTAAAAGAAAAAAGTCTGGTTTCAAAGTTTTTATATCACAGTTTGGTTCCCACAGAAACAGCTGAAAGTAGTAATTTGTTAGAAACTAATACTTGCCAACCTGTCAAAGATCCTTTATTACCAGAACCTTCACCTTCTGCAGAATGTCCTGATTCACCTACTTCTGCCCATAAGTATAATACAAATGTTTTGTGGACATTCGAGGATATAGAAATGCTACTAGGTAATAAATAATTTTATTTCATTGATATGACAATAAGTAAGATTACTATACTGCCTGACATTCAACAATATAACACCCAGTAAATATGAATATGTCTTAATAATTTTTTGATAATGAACTGGATTCATATAGTCATTAAATGATTAAAATTTCCGAAACAATCCGAAAAGTAATCTAGTAGCTTTTGCTTTTTATTAAAAAAAAAACACTGTTTTTTATTTATAATGTTTAAAAGTTTGATGTTTAGTGTTTTATTCTTGATACTACCTTCAAAACATTATTTTTTTAATGACTTGTGTACACTGATGCAATACTCTTCACCAATTAAGTAAATTTGACCGGGGGAGAATAATGTAGATGTGAGAGGCTGGAATTGCTCTTCATGAAGTCTCATATGGTTGGGAGGAATGTGTCTACTGTAATGCAATGTTGGAATAATTAAACAGAAGAACATAGATACTAATGTGTTAAACAAAATATTTTTCTTTCAAAATCCACTAGGTAACTAAGTTCCTGTAGCTGTATACCATGTATCACAAAAGTTTATATTTAAAATCCTTTATAAAAGGTATATAATAAAATACCCAAACAGGATATATCACAATTACAAAATGTTTTCGGAACCTATTCCATCATCAGTGTAAATAAGTGTATATGTTTTGAGCCACTAAAATATTTCAGTAAAAACCCGTTAAATGTTATTAGTTTAAATTGCTGTTACATTATATGTTCTTATAAGTTGAGATGTTTTAGTTACCAGTGGAATTGATAATATTGCAAAGTAAGACTCTACATGAGGTTGCTTGGTCCTGAGACAAAGTGTCTACGAGGACTTGTTGATAGCAACTCAGTTGCTATCAATGTTACCAATTCCACTAATGATTATATCTCTGTCATTAGGATGAATTATGATTGAATTAGAATGAAGGGCATTAGATGCATAGCCACCTGACCTAAATGTGTCCGTTCGTTCTCAGCACTTATCTCCTCTGAAATTTTATATCTCCTCAGGTATAGATTTGGATAACAGGAGGTAGATAATAGGTAGGGTTTCATAGGATAGCTATAATGTAGTATTACTTATAAGGTAGTTGTTCAGCAATGACATCTGATCTCCGACTCACTCTTTCTTCCCTAGTGAGGAATCTTTAGCTTGTTTATAGTGTCTGTCTACAATAGGAAGGCCAGGACGGACCCAAGTTCCTCAACAAATATGATGGTCTCACTGCTCATTGGAGGAGATAATATAGAAGCCTCAAAAACTGCAAACTATTGATATATACTTTTGATTTTTAGGAACAGACATGCCAATTTTCGGTGGGGGTACTCATCCTTGCATATCGCTCAGACTTAGAGATATGAATAAACCAATAAGTGTATTAACAGGAATAGATTATTGGCTTGATAACTTAATGTCCAATGTACCTGAGGTAATAATGTGTTACCATTTAAATGGAATTGTCCAAAAGTATGAATTAGTTAAAACAGAAGATCTGCCTAGGATGGATAATTCTAAATTTTCACCAAAATTAATAAGGGACGTTGCACAAAGTATTCTCAGTTTCCTAAAGTCTAATGCTACTAAATCTGGCCATACATATTGGCTGTTTAAAGGAAAAGACGAAGAGGTAAGAAAAAAAGAGATTCATGTTGCAACTATTTTTTAACCAATAATTTATTATGTAATAAAACTAAGAGTGTTATTAAGCCCAATTAGAATTTTTGTATTATTATAATAATTTATCGATTAGTTTCGCATTTCTGCATCATTTTTTCTCTTTAAAAACACTATAATTTTAATACAAATTGCCAAAGTCATGTTAGCAGTAAAAATAAAGACAACATTAAAAGATCAGTAGACTTAATGCTAAACCTCATGAACATTGAAAACATATGTGTCTGAAAAAAAAGTACTGGATGATTTGGTGGTAAACGTAAAACTGAGTGGCCGTACTCTGCTAGTAATTAGTCTACAGCATACACAGGAGTTTTAATTTCAGCACAGAATATCTTATTGTATAGCTCCAGTTTTTTCAATTTCCTCTAAAAGCATATTTCTTTCTGTCCACCATTTTCTCATGACAGTCTTTTTTCGAAGCTATTGTAGGGTATTTTTCAACAGTCACATTATGATACAAAGCGTTGTCTATCACTAAAACTGAATTGGAAGGTAAATTAGGAAGAATGTTTTGTTTTAATCATTTCATAAAATTCTAATGATTCATGTCGTCATGATAATCACCAGTTTTTGGTCAGGATTTCAACAAATCCATTTTTACCACCACAATGTAAAATAATCTACTGTTCTTTGGAGTAAGCAGATTTTAAGCACATGTTTCGTCCACCATCCCAATCTTTTGGAACTGTGTGGAAACGATGTATGTAAGTCTGATCACTATGAACAATATTACTATCTACCAAAAATTGTTAAATACTTTAAAATTACTTTGACTGTGAATTAATAAATATGTTACTTTCAAATTTGTATTTTTGGAGTTTGTTTAGACATTCTGTTTTTTAGGCCCTTATCTAAATCCTAATTTCTTCACAATTATTGAACATAGTTTACCAATTAAAATTCCTTCGTTTCTAACGATTTGTAAACAGCGTTCATGGTAGATTTTTTGTGGATATTAGCAAAAGTATAAATGGTTTTTCTTATTTGTTTCTCAAATGAATTAACTGATAACTTGGAGCTAGGCTTTCAAATGCTTCTTTTGGGTGAACCAAATTTTGAAGTTAATCGTTTGTTTTCATCTTCCTAATTACCCTCTTTACTGTACTTTCTGAGACACTAATTGCTCTATTGGAGATAAATGATTTGCAATATCTCAAATATTTTTCCCATTTCATAAATAATTTAGGATAATTTACCTCCCTTGGCTATCTATCACTTTTTTTGTAAAACCAGTTGATTTTATGGTTAAGAAAAAAAAAGTTTAAAAATATTAAAAGAAACGTAATTTAACTTACATTTTAAGTATCTTAATATAAAGTCTTACAAATGACCTGAATGTATAGACTAGTCTGTCTTGTGTGCGAATGAACTGCAGATAATTAAATGTTTTCAATAATGTCGGATTTCATCATGTCGTTCGTATATCGTAGGCTTATGAAATTTTGTAAGTAGTCTAGTTGGTTCACAAGCACTCGTCAAACTATCAGATACTGTACTCAGAAGCATATGATGACTATTTTATTTTGTATTAATGATGCAGGGGTGGACATCCAGCAACATTTATATAAAAGTAGTACAGGATTTTATAAATAGTTTTTTTATAGGTGATCAAACTGTATGATTTAACAAGTCTCTGTTCAGAAAAAGACGTCGAAAAAGGCCAGAATCCATTTACGATTCCAGTGGCCATGCTCCTATACCGTGTAGCTAGAAATATGAAACATTCGTCAGAGCGGCCACAACCTGGCACAATAAGAACCCTTTTAAAGAACTGCATTAAACTGTTACCCCAAGAGAAATATCCAGAAATAGTCACATCATCCCTTTATATGCTGTCAGACCTGTATGTACCTGCTAACACTAATCCAGAAAGTCACGGTCTGGACGAAAATGACACAGATGACGACAATGAAACTTTGTATGAGGATGATTTGTCAGATGATGAAAACAGTCAGGAGGAAACTATGAAAGTTCTGGTTTTGGAGAATAATAGATTTGAGAAATTTAAAAACTATTATAAACCACCTGCTCCTATTGTTGGAGGCGTAGAAGAAAGATGTCAACAGGTAAATATGAACTCAAGTAATTTTCATTTTCCTTACTAATGATAATATTCTCAATAATTGATATCCAATGAGATAATAACAAAACTATGATAACTTTTAATGAATTACAGTTACGTACATTGAAATCGAACTACTTCGCAATAATATTTTTAACATAATATATTGTTACCATATGTTCCGGCGGTTGCGACTGGGAAAATTTTACCGACCGTGGGAAAAAACGGCATCCTTTAATGTTTGCACTTGCTCAGGTGTTTGAATGACGTCACGCTCACTTAAAAGTCAAGTCATTTCTTCTTTTCGGCTGTTTTGTCTCTTTCGTCTTCTTCTTTTCGTCAGCTGATCTGTTTTTCGTCTCATGTCACCTTCTTCTATTCACTAATTGAACATCCACGCTTGACGGGGAACCCGATATTTTATACACTGCTACATATAAGTTTACGTTCTTTCGTCTAGTACTCGACACAGATTTTTCGCCCAGTACTCTACATAGGTCTACGATTATTTCCTCCAATGCTCTATATAGGTCTACGATTCTTTTGTCCACGGCTAGACACAAGTCTTGTCGCTAATCGTCGTACGGTCCCACAGCCCAAATTAGATAACCAATATTTTCTTCTTTTCGTCCGTCGTCTCCTTTTCATATTTAGATGTTGATGTATACAAGGTAAGGTGAGAAAATACAATTCAGGTTACAGTGATACCGGGATATGATCACAGATCTACTACAGACGTTCGATTGGATTAGGGTCGGTGCTGGAGGTTAGCCAGTTTATGCAGGCAATCGGATGACTTTTGAGTATTTATTGACGATTTTATCACGGTGTGACGCGTGTTATTATCTATAAAAATCAAATTAGTTCCCTTTGAATGGCAAAAAAAGTATCAAACTCATCAAAAATGGTGGTTATATATCTTTAGTCCAGCAGCACTGTTCCTTTCTGTACTTTGTCATTTTATGTAATTTTTTATATAGGAGCATATTTTGCTATTATTTAATTATATATTTTAACTATTTAAAATACTGTAATGTCTTTATTAATTCTAATTTATTGTTCTTATTTTAATTTACTAAAAGTTCAATATTTATAACACTTACAAACTTAATTTATTTAAAGTTTATTTATGATAATTTATCTTACAATAATAATTTATTACGATCGTTACATTTTAAAACGCGTCGCGATCTTCGTTTCTGACTGCCTGTTTTCTCCAAAAAGGTCCCGTTATATACCAATAACGCTAGACTAGAAAAGTCGATCGCCTTCTCGTCTGGTATAGAATATAAACATGTTTTTCCTAGGGTCGGGCCGCCGGCTGCATTCTTGTTACCTGAAGTTTTTATTCGAATCCTTCTGGAGAGTTCGGTAGTATATGACCTAGAAAATACGTGAATGAATAGAATATTAGTAATAAATATGTTTACGGTTTTGGGTCAGAATTTATCGTAACAATATATTTTCATATTTTTTAAATGCCTCTCTGTAAAATTGGCATGGTCATATTTGTTATCAAGTTCATAGAACTTCTTCTTCTTCGCGTGCCATATCATAGAACTACTTGTTGATAATTATCCCGAAAGCATAAAACGCTTTTAAAATATCAAATTTCTTGAAATCCTATCTAAATTATTGAATCTCAAAAGGGCGGTGCACTCGCAATATAGCACGCTTTAATTAAAAAAAATTATTAAAAAAATACCTTTATAAAAGGTATATTAATATACTTTCTAGCATTTTATTGCCCACAGTTCTACGCTATTAAAAGCATGGCAATAGAAGAAGCATTAGTTAACAACCGGATCGACTCCAGGTACAGAATATTAACACATAATATTTACGAACAAGCTGAAATGATATTGACGTTGGGTAATTGAATCAAAACAAGACCAGTAAAAATCAATCGACGCGTAAGACAAGGAGACACAATATCTCCAAAATTATTTACAGCTGCCCTAGAATATATATTTAAGTCAATAGACTGGGAAAATAAGGGAATCCCTATTAACGGAAGATACTTGAACCATCTTAGATACGCAGATGATGTAGTACTAATAGCCGACACGTGAAATGCACTGAATATGATGATTGAAGAGCTAGACACAGAATCCCTAAAAAAAAACTGAAAATTATACTGAAAAAGATAATAGATGAAGTATACACGTTTCAGTTTTCAGCAAAACTAAACTAATGTCAAACAACGATGACACACCTATGATAAACATCGAAGGGACAGATATAGAACACGTAGATGAATATACATATCTGGGTCAAAATGTCAAGGTAAGCAAAGAAAATCAGACTACCGAAATAAGCTGACGTGTAAAAATGGGATGGGCAGCATTCGGAAGACTCTTATACGTACTTAAAAATAAAAATATACCTCAAAGACTGCGAACCAAAGTGTTTAATTCCTGTATCCTACCTGTACTTACATATGAAGCTTAAACCTGGACATTCACTAAAAAAAATATGGAGAAGATCAGAAAAACTCAGAGAGCTATGGAACGACATATACTGGGTATCTCACTTAAAGACCATAGAAGCAATGAAGACATTCGTAATAGAACAAAAGTAAAAGATGCTATCGAAGAGGCAGCTAAACTGAAATCGAAATGGGTTGGACATAATGAACGTCTTAAGATGGCTGATGGAATAAAGAAATCGGGAATTGGAGGCCATATGAAGCCAAAGGACAACGAGGAAGACCGCAAATGCGCTGGAGCGACGATATTAAAAGAACTGCAGGCCCAATGTGGAAACGTCTTACAAACAACGGAGATGCATGGCGAGAATTAGGTGGGGCCTAGATTCGGCAATCCGAATAGAGAGAAGGGTTTAAAAAAAAATAGAAAACCCGGGCTACATCTCAGAACGTTTTCGGAATAACTATTGCATCATCAGTGCTATCTTGATGTACATGTTTGAAGCCACTAAATATGTGGATAAAAACCCTTTAAATGTAGTTTGATTAACTTTAAATTACATCTTTGATATTTAAAAACTATGATGTTTAAGTTATAAAAGGAATTGATCACATGGCAACGTAGGACTGCACTGGGGTTGCTAGTCTTTAGACAAAGTGTCGGTGAAGACTTGTTGCTATAATTTTCTTCATTCGGCCACTACCATAAAGACCATTGGTCTTCCATTGGACTACCATTTTGGTCTCGTTAGAGAACAAGACATATCTCTACTAGATTTTGATACAATAAAGCGGTAGTTACATTCGGTTGTGCAACGCTTTAAGGTGGTATGTCACAATGTTAAAATTTATATACTTTTTAGGTACAGTTATCTTCACTATTTCAAAACAGATCTTCAAGTTATGATTATGTACGTAAACTGTAAACTTTCTATTTTAATGATATCTAGTTAACATTTTCAAAAACAGCAGTATTTTTTTCATAACTGTACTTAAATGCATCCATGTCATAACTTACGTGGTAACGTGCCTAAAAATTGGTATTGTGAAATAATTATTGAACTTAGATGCAAAATAACTACGTTAAATGATTAACTATCCAAAAACCTTTATTTTAAGCAAATGTTTGTTATCCATACTGCCGTAATTTTTAAATTAACTGTACCTAAAGATAAAATTACAATTAAAAGCTGCAAACTAGGGATTTTGTTGATGTTACCGTAATAAGTTGGCATTTTTATAGTGAGAAATTAGTTCAGCTATCACTTAACAGATGAGAAAATAAGTTCACGTGTCATTTAGTAGAAGGCAGCACTGATGTATTAAATAGCGATAGATGCGCGTTTGCCGAATTTAAGAAAAATCTGCAAAACATTGAAAACTAGTTTTGTGGTTATTCCAATTGTCTATGAGTTATGCAGTAACCATAGTAACGAATCACGTGGTTTTGTTAGCATGGCGACCCCTCCCACCAGTAGTTAATATTGTGGCTTCGTTTGACTTTCTTTTTATGTTCAATCATGATTGTATAAGGGAACAATGTCTTAAATATACAAGTTTACCATTTTTTTCCTTGGCACCTTGACGTTATATAATCGTGGTTGAAAGTCAAACTATGGTCAGTAAAATTTACTGCGGGATTATACTGGTTTTTACATAATATATAAACATAAAAACAATTCGTTTTATTCAATTTTTAACAAATTTAATTTTTATAGACAAAACAATAGTATGTAATGATCGATTAAATTTTGTCGATTAATTATTTCCGGAAGAAAATAAGATTATTGATATTTACTTTAATATTTACTTGAGTCATAATTAGAAACGAGATGAAAATCTGAAATTTTCTTGAGGAAAACACTTCCCCTGTTGACATTCGATATGAAAAAATTGTTATTATATATTATAATATTATAATAATTATTATAAATATATTATTAATAATTAATGTTATATATTTTAGATTTCTTATAAATACTGTTTTTATACATAAATAGTCGATCCAATTACCATAATCCCTTTTTGATCATTATTTAAGTACCTGTTTTTCAAACAATTGCAAATTTCTTTTCAGTTTGAAATAAATATTTTTGGGTAGATAAATAATTCAGACTTGTCGCCTGAAATATGAGTAATAAAATACCTCCAAATGAATGAACGTTTAACGTTTTGTGTATACAAGGTCAAGTAACAAAAATCCCTAATCAGCACATCCAGCTGATTGCTGGTGTAAGTGTAAGGCAATTAAAATTTATGACGTCTGGGAATGTGGTATCATCTTTCATATTAATAATAATATTAGAATTGTATAGTATGCTTAGATACAGTTAGTCGAATTTGGGAAACTGTATTAAAATAAAATCACACTTGTGTAATTTGATACAAAATTAAGCTTTTTGTACGTAGACTTGCGATTATCTGAGGTAATTGGGACCGTGACTACCTCGGATACCGAAAGAACTCTGTCACTGAGATTGGTTATACTGATAGAAAAATGTGTACCTATGTTAATAATGATTAATGTGTTTATTTTAATAACTAAAAACTGATATAAAAGTAGTATAAAAGATAAAAAAAAAGTTAATTTATAAATGTTTTAAAAAAGTCTTTGATTGATTTTTGTTTCAACTTCAGTCCTCCTTTTGGGGCGGCGATGTTGCGCCAACGTTGAAAATGAAGGACGTCTAATGGTGTTGATTCTTCTTGTTGCTCAATGTATACGAGAGCTGCTTCAAGGGACTTAAATCCTTCGGAATGAGAAATCTTTTAAGTTATCCCATCTGTATCTTCTTCTTCTTCTTCATGGGTGACGTTTAGACCTAGATTGGCAATTGTATCATCTGTCAGTTCCACTTCATCTAGATTCCTTCAATCGATAATGTCTTGTTTTACGATTGTTTGTTCTACTGGTAATTGATTGGCTAGGTGGGCTATAGAATCAACTTTACAGTCATCAGTTTTATTTTGAACGTCTTGTGTTTTGTTGTCTATCTTAAATAATTTTTTCCACAACTTCTGAGTAGTGGACATTTTTACGTCGTCCCAGGCAGATGCAATCCAATAGCAAACATCTTTAACCGTGATCTTCTTCAATGCCTCAATTACAGTCAGCCCTTCATCCAGTTTATAGTTAGCAGTGGCTGAAGATATGCAGAGTACCTTGAGATATGCAGACGATATAGTCCTGATAATAGATAAGAAGGAAGAGTTACAGAAGATGGTTGAGAAACTAGATAGAAAAGCGACAGAGATAGGTCTAGAGATGAACTATAGTAAAACCAAGACTATGACAAACCAAGAAGACCAATTAGAAATAGTAGTCAAACAGAATAAATTAGAGCAGGTGGCAGAATACATATACCTAGAACAGATAATAAAGCTGAACAGAGACAATCAAACAGAAGAAATAAAAAGAAAAACTAGACTAGCATGGGCCTCATTTGGTAAACTATCATATATTCTAAAAAATAAAAAGTTCCCTAAATATATGCGAACGAAAGTATTCAACCAGTGCATTTTACCAGTTATCACATATGGCTCACAAACAGGACTTTCACAAAGGAGAACATCGACAGGATATCCAAAACACAAAGAGCAATGGAAAGACAGATGCTGGAAATCGGTCTTAAAGACAGGAAAAGAAACTCATGGATCAGAGAAAAAACAAAGGTGAACGATGTATCAAGACAGGTTGCAAAACTTAAATGGAACTTCGCCGGTCACACTCTCCGGCAAAAAGATGAAAGATGGAATAAGCGAATTCTACACTGGAAACCATGGGAAAAGAAAAGAAAAAGAGGAAGACCACAGATGAGATGGACTGACGATCTTAAGAGAAAGGCAGGAAAGGACTGGATGTAGATCGCCCAAAATAGAGACCAATGGAGATTAACAGGGGAGGCCTATGCCCAAGAGTGGGCGTCTAAGGCTGATTAGATAGATAGATAGATAGTACCTGAAGAAGCTTCCGCCGATAATTCCTCTTCATTCCTTATATAACGTTTTGGTCTAGGGTTGGATGAGAGATGTTACATGGGGTGGAAGGAACACAGCTTGTATGTCACCACTAATCAATTCCCTCACATATGGGTGGGATCGTGCGTTGTCCAACAACAACAAAGCTTTTTGGACCAATCCACTACCACCACTCACACTTCGGTTTACCCACTATTCGATTTCATTCGGCTTACGCTTCCAATATCCAACAGTTACTTCTCCGACATCTAAATCTAAAGAAACCTTCTTTATTGATTCACCCTTGTCCAACCTCTTAATTGTATTCACTTTTGTTTCCAAGGGTGCAATTACTCTCTTTCGTTTTCCACTCATATTGCACAGAAAGATTCTCTCTTACATTCACAAAAATCAACTTATGAAAAATTAATTATGAAACCGAAACTAATAACTGGAATAAATTCACAAAACAGTACATAAAAGAAAAAATATTACCGTACAGATACTTAATTTGACGATCTGAACGACAGCAAACAAATCGGTAGTTCAATTCACATTGATTAACATAGAAAGTAACAGGAAGTTGTAGACAAAACACCACACAGAAATTTCTGCACATGAAATCTCTTTCACATCAGCTTGACCTAAAGCATACCTTACAAATAATTCTCTTCTTATCAATAATCCAAAATTTTCAATTGATTGCCCATCTAACAGCTGCCGATATAACTTCTGACCATCGATCCCTTTTTTTATTACTCGATATTGTGATTCAATAAGTACGACTATAAAGGTAAATAAAGGTAAAACCAAGGCAAAATTTTGCCTCGATTAACCTACGGTACCTAAAAGTATATTCGAAGAAGCTTCCGAAGAAGCCCAAATTTAAATTACCTCCAATCGAGTTCAAAAATTATTCAGAGATTGCAGTCTAGGTTTGGCATAGAGGATCTCCAAATTGAAGTTTACATTAGAGAGCTCTCAAAGTTAATTTTAAGTCGAGTTTCTTAGTATTATATATATATATATATATATATATATATATATATATATATATATATAATATATATTTGTAATATTTCTGCTCTTTATGATATGATTGATAGTCAACTTCGTTCACTTGAGACCTTAGACAAAACTGCTGACAAGTTAGCGGCGATATTGTATCCTCTTATTAAGTCATGTCTGCCAGAAAATATGATTCGACAATATGGCATCTTATGTTTTCGTGTCCATGGAAAATATTGGAAAAACTGCAGAAGTTACAACTTTAAAAACACACTTTAGAGTGGGTTAATGACATTTTTACAGAGTGAAGTTTAAAATGAAAAAAAATTGATTTAGCAACGGAAGCTTTTCGTTTACTAGCTGAAAATGAATATAAATTCAATAGTCTTATTGCCAAGATAAATGTAAAATTACAAAGAACTGATCAGTCCTTAGCATCCTCTGATGGGTTAATAAATTATGAAATTTACAGGTGTATATGTTTATTATAAGTAATTTTTTCTACTTGAAATAAATTTAGTTTTTTACAAAACTAATATGCACCATTTAAAATGTTTACAAAAAAAAAACAAAAAAAACAAAACAACAATTTAACTTCAAAGGTAAATGAACCTCAACGCAACACGATACAAAAATTAAAAAATGATATGGAATGATCCAATTATCCAATCCAAAAATTCACACAAAAAAATATACACCTGTAAAAATGAAATTTACAGGTGTATATTTTTATTATAAGTAATTTTTTCTACTTGAAATAAATTTAGTTTTTTACAAAACTAATATGCACCATTTAAAATGTTTACAAAAAAAAACAAAACAAAACAACAATTTAACTTCAAAGGTAAATGAACCTCAACGCAACACGATACAAAAATTAAAAAATGATATGGAATGATAAAATTATCCAATCCAAAAATTAGAATTTGTGAAACTTCAAATCAAATAATACGATAGCGCAATTTCAACTTACATTGCAGAAGACTGCCGACCGAGAGCGAACTATACCGATTCTCCCGATCGTATATTATATTTTAAGTTATAGTACGTGGCGTCGTTGGCAACACTGTCGCTGTTCAGATAATTAAATTTCGAGAAAATCAAAATATTAAAATATGATACACGTGCTGCCATCTATTAAAGAAATTGTTAAACGTTAGTTTATTTGAACACCACTCATTTTGACTGCGGCGTGAACATACCCCCTTAAATCGCTCTAGGTGCCACAGTAACTCTTCCATTAACATTTCGTTGGCTAAGCCAATTTTCAGTTGAAATTTTTGAGTAGCCTTTTTTTGGTATGTTGCGCATTGTATTTAGTAAACTTTTACATTCCTTAAATTATAAAACGTTAATTATGCTCAGAATGTTGCATACTTTCAATATATCATAATTCGTTTACACTAATGATAACTCCGAATTAACATGCGATTCTTGTGTTTTCAGTGGGTGAATTTTAAGCTACAAGAAGCATTCCTAATAATTTTATCATATATTAAATTAAAATGCATCATATATTACATGTTATTACATTTTAGTTTTATCACGTATAATTTTCACAAAATGACACTAAACTTTGAAATTGTGCAGTTCGTAAATCTCTATTCACTTAAGTGTACAGATAGAAGTTAATCTAAAACGGATTTTGGGTTTTAAAAATTTGTATATTTCTAGGCTATTCAACATGTTGCCGCTGGTCTTGATTGCATTAAATACTTTCCTAAAAACAAAGAAGAAAGAAGTTCCGGGGAAAAGGACGAGGAGGAAGTGAAAATGGCTAAACCATATGAGCCAATACCAATGCCATACGGTAAAATAAATGAGACAAAAACTTCAACAGATTCCACCAAGAAAAATAAGAAAAAGGAGCGAAAGAAGAAATCTGAAAACAAGAACCAGGACAAATTAACCAATGCTCTTTTACCAAAAAATTTGAACGAAGCTCAACCTTTACCTACGTGGCAAGAAAAAGAAAACCGTAATATATCGTGGAAGGACCATTTGAAAACCCTACTGTATGAAAAAGCCGTTTTGATTTACGCCATTCTGTCCGAACACCATTTTGTTCAAGGCAATTATGGACTAAGTTTGAAATATATTGGACTGCTTGCTAGGTGCCAGTTGGTAATGAATAAGTTGCAGTATGCTTCTAATGCTCTAAGAGAAAATTGTTTATTGGGTCGAGCAGGAGATTGTTGCATAATGATGATACAAAATTGGGGTAAGTATTTAACTTATTATTAGATATTGAATTATGCCACATTCCATGTGGACGAAGATTATGTCTAGTTTATGACTAATTATAAGTGCATATAACTCATGTTTGTGTTGTGATAAGCCATTAGTAATCCATAGTGCAAAATTTAGTGTATTATCACAGCCACCTAAAGTTACAAGCCGAGAAGTAAAAATGGCAACGTCGCAACATATGATTAAAGTAGTCCTATGAAAGAGAAGTATGGTGATCCGTTTCGTAATCCGAAATATTTTAAATAATAATTCATGGATCTCTTTTTAACATTGCACAAATAAGGGAAATTTTAATTAAATTTAATAAAAGGAAAATATGAAATAAATAAGTTAAACCTGTTACTAATAATATTTATTTTCCATACAAAGGTTAGAATTGAATAGGGATAGTAAACATTTATAATTTTTAAAATCTAGAGTTCTAATTAATTGTAGATAGTACCTAACAGATTAACAGAAAATACGGGTAAAACCATTAAAAAGCGCATGCAGAAGAGTCGTAAATCAGTCATTTTGAATTACAATATTTTTGTAAAGTATAAAAAACACTTTGAATTAGGTACTTTTCTTGCTCAGCGTACAACTTTTTATGCCTCATTAATTTTATTTCATTACAGTAACAAACGGAGAGGTTACATTTTACATTATCACTGTCACTGAAAATTGTACAATTTTATGGACAAAGCTAACAAAAAAGTCAAATAATATAAAATAACAAAACAAAACAATCTTAAATTAGTAAAATTATTGTACAACTTACCTAATTTGTACAGGCAACCACAAAATTCAAAACAAAGTATGTAGCTACTGCATGAGACACTCAAATGTAAATGTACAGAATACTAATCTATTTGTTTCTTTGTTATTCATTAAGAAACTCATGGACTGAATAATATGGTGTTTCAGAGAGATAGGTTTTTGTCATTTTACAGAACTTGGTGAAAGATGTTGGGGATTTAATTTGTCCCAGTGAGTGATTTAGTTTTTTGCACTATATAGAATAGAATTCTTTACTTACTCAAAGGACAAGATTAGTAAATAAACATCATAACCAGAACTTCTAATAGAATAGCCATGATCAGGTCTTTTAGGAAAATTTTTGGATGCTTGCGAATCAAACAGGAAGCATCACAATTCCGTGATTTTTTGAGACCAACTAGATAACGAATTGCTATTTTTTGTAATTTAAAAATAGTATCAAATTGGGCTGCTGTACTAGAATCCCAAAAAGGAAACTTATATGGAAGGTGAGACTCGAACAATGGGAAATATGCCATTTTTGCAGATGATTGACAAAGATCTTATTGCAAAGCAAGCTGAGGCTAGTTTCTTACTTCAGGAATCAATGCAAGAATCATTTACAATTACTATCGATAAGAATACCTAGTAAATATTACAGAATTAATATTAACTATAATAGTAGCCACTCGGCTCCCAGGGGGCTGAGTGGCTTCTTAGCTATTCTCTTATCCACATTTAAGCAAGGTAAAACTTGGAGTCAGACCAAACCTTTATTGTAAGTAAATCAGCGGTTATAATTGAATGAAGAGTTGAAATATTAGTTGCTTTAGCTGACACTGAAGAAAAATCATTTTTAGTAGAAAGAATCAGGGTGCCACGGTGAGCTGAACTTTGACGAACATACGTAGCAGTTGTGGTATAAATAACTCGTCAGTCTTATTTCTAATAATTGAATATTAATAAGGACCGAGTTAGGATATTTGCCAGTTGAGACCATCTTTCTAATTTACCATCTTTCTAGTTTACCATATCAGTCACTACATTCTTGAATGCTTAAAAAATAAAAATAGACACTGTCATTCGTCACTTTTTGATTCCACTCATTTAAAGTAATCTTCATGCCGCATTTGTTAATAAAGTTGAGTCTATTAAATCTTGTTTAAGAAAGTCTTTTTCCAGTTGTTCCAATTTGTGGTTCTCTTTATCAAAGTGATGTTGTCGTCTTTCCCATGGATCACTTCTGTCTATAGATTTAGAAATATACATTTAGAAATATATAGAAGATTGGGGAAAATCCTAGAAATAACATTTAATTACAATTTTGGATATTTTAGTTTTTCAGACAAAACATAGCTATCTTTGTCTTTCCATGTTTGATGAAGTATAATATCTTCAGAATGAAAATGCTTAGCACGCACAACGTCTCGTTTGATAGCTTTTAACCACATATCACATAATTGTTTATCTTTTGGGAAAGAAAATGTGCTTACAAGCCCTTCCAACTTCAGAATGCTTGTGTAATTACTAATTACTTTTACATCGAAGTACACAACAATATCTTGATATCTGTAAATGAAAAGAATAATTTAAGCTTTTGTGGCATTTAAACTATTACGATATTAACTGGAGAATAAACTCAAAGTTGTCGCAAAAACTGTGATTTCATTGTCCAAATGGTTAATATAACAAAAGAATTAAAAATTACCTAAATAAAAACTGAGAATAATGAAATCTACACCTAACCTAACAATGTTTATACTTACATTTGAGTTTATTTCAACCTGTAGTACAATATCAGTAATTAGTCGAATAAATAAATAACTTAATAAGTAACTTAAATAACTGACTAGACACATAAAAGTATTTAATATTAATTAAAAAAATATAATATACAAATAGTTACCAATTCACTGTAATCTGCTGTCCACATTCAAACAGGACTACCCTTAGATGTTATCAAATTTCTACTTCATGGCTTGTAACTTTAGGTGGCTGTGGTATTATTCATTAGTTCATTTTTGAGTGGAATAAGCTCTTTCATCATATTAAAATCTCTTGTTGGTTGGTATTTACCATTTGAGTATATGTAGGTCTTTGTGCTGCACTTATATTTGTTGTTGCCACTGGTAGCTGTTGGTTTTGTAGTTGATTCGGTAACTCTTTCTTTCTTAAAGCTGGAAATCTTGCTTCCTGCAGTTTTTTATGTACACTGTATCTTCGTAATTCACTGGGTGGTTATTACCGTAAAGTACACATTTTACTAGATCAGATCGAATTTTCCTAGGGCGGTCAGCTGTTAAGTGACATTTTACACACCTGTATTGATGATATCAGAAATTTTTATGTGACCATATCTTTGGCATCTATTACATTGTACTAATTCTCTTTTTAGTCTTAAAGCTTCGACATAAATTTTTGCGTTGAATAAATATTCCATCTTATAAATGTCTTTATTATTATCTTGCTTTTTTAAGTCCACAAAAACAGTGGTAGGGTATTTTTTGTATCTTTTTGTAGCATATTCGTTATTTAGTAGAGCGTTATAGAGATATTCATTCAGAAATGAAATGAGAAATTGAGAAAAACAAGAATGTTTCTAAAACTTGAGGAATATTGTTAAACATTTGACAGGTAAAGAAATCGAAAGAAATATAGAAAACACAAGAAGGAACTACTTTAACAGATGGTGAAACTATTTCCAATGCATTTGCTCGTTATTTTACAGAAATTGAAGAAATTTATGACAAGAATATAACACCACCGACATCGTATTTCCCTCAATACAACAGCGTGATGCATTCTATGTATTTAAGATCGGCATCTGAAAGTGAAATTGAGGGGATTATTAAAACACGTAAGAAGAAAAAATCACCCGGTATTGACAACATTATAGCAGAAACAATAAAAATTATAGATAAACAAATCATCAAAACTGTTGGTGGAACTAATAAATTTAATATTTAAAACTGGTCATTGTCCAGACAAATTTAAGGAAACAGTTGCAATTCCCATATAAATGACAGCAGAAAAACTAAGTTTGTCAAACTACAGACCGATGTCATTAATTACCACTTTAACAAAAATATTTGGAAAATGTCTTATGTCTTTGTAATAGGTATTGTCTGGGTACTTTCCCTTCTCCACTATCTTCGTATTTGAATTTCCATATCCCTGTACTTGGCGATCTTTTCGTTCTGTTTAACACGGAAGATTATTGTTGTTGGGTATCGCCACATCAATCAGTATTGTTTGTCTCTTTAGTTTATTAACTATTATGAGATCTGGTCTATTATGTGCCACTGTTTGATCTGTGAGCACAGTGTGGTTTTAGTATAGCTTGTAGTCATTCTCAAGTATACTCTCAGGAACATATTGACAATATGGGATATGGTTTGTTGAACTTGTCCCAGTTTGATGGCTTTCTCTTGATGAAGGATCTTTCCTACTGAGTCATGCCGTTCCTTATATTCAGTTGCAGCAAATGTCTTGCAGCCCCCTGTGAGATGTTGGATGGTTTCTTGAGCTTGACATCCATATCGGCATTTGTCATTTTGGACCTGGGGGTCTTTGACGATATATTTCAGGTAATTTTTGGTTGGTATAACCTAATCCTGAATGGCGATTAATGAACCTTCTGTTTCAGAGAACATCTTTCTTGATGTCATCCAATAGTTCAGCGCTATCGACATGGTCTGGACTGACCTCATTGGGATGTGGCCCGTGCAGAGGTTTACTCATCCAGGTGCACATTTTTTCGTCCTTAGTAAGATGGTTTATGCACATTTCTGGTTCCCTCAGTTTGATTCAATACTCTGATTAAATGTTTGTCTTTGGCTATAGTGTTTAATAGTTGGTTTAATGGTTGGATATTTTTAACACTGGCAATAAATATAGGTGGAGGTTTCTCTTCCTGTTTTTTTTGCCTCCTCAGATTCTGCTTCTTGCTGCTCTTCATTAATTAATACATTAAATTTATATGCTTTGATGTGCTCAGTCAGTAGTTATCTATTTTGGTTTGTTTAAGCTTGAAATGTTGTTGCGGACTATTTCTCGCACGTTTTTTATTTTGGACTATTTGCCATTCTTCGTCATTTGTTTTAGATGTGTTTGGTGGGGAATATGGCGGTAATGTACTTTGAACTAAATACTGGTATTGAGGTTGAAGTAACTGCATTGACTGGTTTGGTTGGCTTGCAGCGAAATGTTGTTGGATTTGTGATACTGTTGCTATGATGAATGTGGTCCGAGTTGCATTTGTTGTGAGAAATATCCTAGTTGTTGAACTAGTAAGTTTTGATCGCCAGATTGATTTGGCTCGAGGTTGGACATTGAGAGTATTGAAATGAATACTGATTATATCCGTGGGACATGGTGATTTAAATATTACATGTCATGCGTTTAAGGACTATGGGAGACCTGACAGTTGACCACAGAGCATACAAAAATTATCACCAAATGACAAAGAGGGGTGGGGGGTAATACCCTAATCTACAATGAAAACAGAAACTTCTATATATAATTCCCAATCATCATCACTGTTGTACAGGTCATCTATAGAAATACAATAAGCTCTTAATAATATCAGGTCAAAAACTTATTTTCTGTTACTAACTGACTAATGCTCCTATGGTCTTTAATTATGAATAAATAAATATTCGTTTATATTTCCAGGTAAATGTGAAATTTACAATGAGCAACTACACAACAACCAACATGAAGACTTCAAAATGATGGAGCAACTCGAGCAAGACGAACAATTTTACAATATTAGCATCGGCAATAGTGAAATGCGTTGCGTGTTTCTATTTGACATCCGAACCATCGAACAAATGCTATTGAAAAGCATCGAATGTTACGAGACAGCATTAAAACTTTCCGAAAGCGATAATATATTGCGACGATTAGCGAATAGTTTAAACGAAATTGGATCATATTACCTTAACCGAGCCAAAGTAGAGAAAAATATGAACGATATAGTCCAAACTTGTAAAAAGGCTGATAATTATTTAGCACGTGGTTTGGAGTTATTTGAAAGAGTTAAAGATACCGCCAATGTTGCCTTGTTGTACACCAATATTGGACATTTGTACAGACTTTTAGCACACGCGAACACGCCTGTTGATCGGGGCGAGATTACCCAACAGGAAAAGATTCATTATAATAAAGCTATCATTAATTATAAGAAGGCCTTGCAAGTTTTAGGCGAAAGAAACAACTGTCCCGGAATTTGGGATGCCGTTAAATGGGAGCTTTCTACCGCCTTGTTTAATATGGGTTGGATTATGCACGAAAATCCGTCGATACAACTGGTAAGTTAAAATTAAAAAGTTTGTTTAGTTTATGAATATTGTTTGCAATGAAATTTTCTGTAATGATACATTTTTTCGGTTGTATTTATAATATAATAGATTATGGATAATTGACAAAATACACAAGGTGTACTATTTAAAAAAATACTTACCTTTACGTTATTTCGGAGTAATGACTCAACTGGTAAATTTATAATTTACCTATATAGATACTTGATTTATTCAAAATAACTTTCATTTTAAACTTTTTTGTAAACCTACCATGAATCATAACATTAGAAACTTACGTTAATTGAACTGCAACAAATCGCCGCGCATGCGCGGACGCTACGTTGCTATCCTGGATGTCGGAAGATAACAAAGGCCTAGCCTGTATTTATAGAAACCACAGAGCAAACTCTAACACACATCTCTAACACACATCTGCAAGTTTTAGAGGAATATTTCCCCCTAATATCATAGTTCTAGCAAAACTAACTAATTGGTGGTATGCTGTTTCTTTCTCAGCAATAAAATGTTGAATTTAAGCGTTATGTTCAAGACAAAATACTTATATATAAGTTTACCAAATGTCTTACGAGTTACACTAGATAGTACACTTTCCAATAAGCAACACCTTGAAAAAGTCTCTGATAAGCTGAAAACGATAAATAATATTCAAAAGCTCTGTAGAACAACTTGGGATCTCTAGCTGCTGTCTGGATAAACGAGATCTTACACACGGTATGTCCACACTCGACTTAACAGCACTATATGTGTGGTAACCGAATCGTTGAGATGCTCTGCACTCCAATGGCTTCGCATCAATTTGGGAATAGCCCCACCTGATATCCGTATTCCAGATTTGGAAGGACTAGGCTAAAATCTAGAAAGCTAGCTCTATTAATATCCTGGTCCCGTTAGCGGCCAATTTTGAGATGAAGGTCTATTGGAAGAATAGATGGGAAGAGAGCACATAACCACATACTAATAAAGTACTTCATACTGATCAGCTGGTCCCAGGTTTTGATTTTAATCGTATCACATGTGTGACCCTGAATAGAATCGGGTCTGGATGCGGCAGATGTTCTGACGTCCTAGAGAAGTAGGACAGTGCTCCGCCTTCAGCTTGTGACTGCGAACTTCCTTGAAGCAGCACCAGAGGCAATAAACTGGATAGGCAGTCCCAATATCAGTGTCTAATATCTATATATGTTAAGTTTGTTTTTAAGTCTGTATGAATATACTATTTTATATTTTCCTTATTCTTGTGCCCCAAGCTAAGTAAATAAAACGATCAAAAATGAAAGAATTATTTCAATGTATGGTTTTTGGAATTTGTAGAAAAACGTTTACTCAATTATATTATGTATGTGAATGATCACCACTTTTTTGTGTTTACTACTCAATAAAATAAGTTACTAAAATATTTACATCATATATTTTTATTTTTTAGAGTAAGACTGAAGCTGAAAAGGAAGTTATTGAAACGCTTCAAAAAGCACTTCAGTATTGCGATTTTGATGAAAAGAATCCAAAATATCCGCTGTATATCTATCGTGCTGCCATCATCCATTATAGAATAGGATCTCTTTATCATAGCCATATTTGGTCTACTCCAAACGATTCCAGTAATAGAAAAAATATAATTCAGCTTGCTAAAATTAATTATGAGAAGGCTTCTAAAATGTATTTCCAAAGTTCGGATGCTATAAATTATTTTACTTCACAAATGCAAAGGTTCGCTCTGTCTGAATATTTGACAGAAAGTAAGTATTATTTATGATTATAGGTGATGAAATCAATCGATAGCAAAAAAATCTGTGGAAGCTTTAGCTGTTTTCACTTGTAAAACGTTTCAGATGGGGAATTGAACCATTAGATTGTCTTGTGTTCGTTTATTTCACAATTTTTACCATGCTTTCTTATTTTTCACTTCCTGTACCTTATTTCTTATCTTCATTATTTTTGTTTATCCTTTCACCTGTACTCTCTGATTTAGCTAATATCAGCGCTACTTATATATACAAGTTATTATGTACTAGAATATTCTGGAATAGTTCACCTTTATTCATTTGCATTAGCGATTCGATTCCATCCAGGTCGATACAACCAGAAGGTTCTCGAACACAGATCATCGTCTTCTCGAGATGCAACCGTTATATGGGTTACGTCAAAATAAGTAATTTCGGTACACTGCTCCCCTCTTAGATCTGAACTAAGGATGACGGAATCTACAGGACTCTCTAGCTCTGCATGAACCCCTTAGAAATAAATAACAGTCTACTGTCTTTGAAGGATACGATCTCTTCGGAATAATGCAACACACAGTAATTCGTACGCCGGTTTCTCGGAAGATCACTTCAAGCATGCTTCTGACAATCTTCCAATCTAGATTTTCTAGTGCATGGCCTATCTTGGGTAAGGCCAAATTTTTACGTCGCCACCATTCCAACATCTGGGTTAACGTCTCTTCGGCATCGTATTACGAACTACTTTCCGTACGTTTTCCTCCAGACGTTTATCGTTTTGTTCGTCGCTCTCTTCAGAGGTTTTTACTCGAAAGCAATGGCGAGCGCTTCATCTAAAACTTTCGGTCTTGCTAGTCTTAAAGCTTTCTGTAGTTCACTGTCTCTCAACCCATTGACGAAGGTATCTACAGCAATTTCTTCTAAAATGTTGTCTGGTACCTCGGCTAAGCCAACCGCGCTATACGAGCAACATCTTCAAATTCTTGCAAATTCTCACTTGTTCGTTGAATTCTACTTCTTATTTGTAATTTATAGACTTGTTGTAGATGGGCATCCCTGTAACGTTTGTCTAGTCGAGTGAACAAGTTCTGGTAACTTTTTTCTTGACGCTTAGTAGGAATTGATAGGATATCCGCAACATCACCTCGTAAAGCAGCAGTCAAGGAAACAGCTTTTTCTTGTTCTGTCCAATGATTGGCTGTCGCAATAGCTTCAAATTGTCTAAGGTATATGGATCAAGAAAACTTTCCACCAAATGGTGGCAATTTGAATCTCATATGATGAGATTAGTTTCTAGTACTACCAGTTTTTTAGACAATCACATACATATATATTGTTAAAATATGTCCCCTTTCAATTAAAAATCGACTTGTTTTATTATTTTCACAAATTATATATATATATATATATATATATATATATATATATATATATATATATATATACAAAATGGCAATTTTAATTTTAATAACTTGTAAGTTATTACAAGTTATTAAAATTATTTTTTTATGTTTTAGCAACAAGTGCTTTACACACCAAAATCAAACATCTCCAACATTGTCTGGAAATAGTACTAGAGTTGGAAGAAATGATAGATCTGATCATGAATAAGAAAGTAGAAATTCAAGAAGTAAAAGAAGAAGAAAAGACTGATACTAGAGATAACAGTTTTAAATCTTGTTATTCATTGTTGAAGCTTGTAGCTACACGTTTGCAGCACGTTTTGAAACTCTTAGTGAAATATTGCCTTACGAAACCACCTCCCAACAAAGACTGCGAAAAAATGTCGGAACTGTATAAGAAATGTTATAAAATTACATTTGATTTGAAAGACAATTTAAGCTATTCCGATCTTCTAAGAGAATTAGCAAAAGTTTTATTAAGTATTAAGAGTGAGTGTGAACTATATAATAATAAATCGAATGTGTAAATACCGTTTTTAAAGTGTTACTTATTAAAGAGTTTTTGATTATCACTGTGATAAATACAAGTTTTAAAGTTTTCATGAGTTTTAATCTTTTCAAAAATCACAAGATTATGCAAAAGAAGGCATACAAATAAAATGTTAAACAAATATCCAATATTGTTCTGAAGCTATTTTCTTGTGGCATTGTAAATTAATTACTATTTAACTGGGAATAAGCCACAATTAAAGATAAAAATACGTTTATTGACGTTTCAATTTCCACTTCGGAAATCGTTCTCAAAATACAAACAGTAAATTAAAAAAAATTTGTTTTTTGTTACATAGTGAAAAATTCTTCTAATAATTTAATTTTATCTGACTCATTTATATTGACAATTCAGACATATATTATGCATTTTGAAGTAGACGACTTTAAAATGATATTGCCAATATTGTTGAGTTGCGCTCCTGGGACGACTTTACTTATAAGATAGTTCATTGGATTACATGAAATCAACTTTAACTTAAGAATATCCGTCAGAAAAAATCATAGCATGTAATTCGTCTTTAAAAAGACAAACACATGACATGATGACAGTAAAATTCTCCTGTTAGTGATTCCATAGTAAATTATGAGGGAAAAACCGGGAAAAAAACCTCATAATACTATCCCGACACTGTAAGTATTTGTTCGTGAATTTAGTTTACCTTCAACAAACATCAAAATTCTGATTTTATATGTTACGTTATTTAAAAAACATAAATGATGTATCCTCTATATGTTACTGACTTACTAATACTGGTATTTTCTTATTAATAACTTCCTCTTTCAATATTGGTAACCAGATCCTACTACAGTCTGCCGAGGAATTTGCGACACAATTGGCCTCATTTAGCATAATTAGAGCCGCTTCTTTGATTTTTCTTTTTTTACCATCCGTTTCCTTTAGGACTACATTTGAATTGTTCCATTGAACCCTATGTTCATTATCCCATGCGTGTTTACATATTTGATATCAATCTTATATTAAAAATAGAGAATTTGATAGATCTCAAATATGTAAACACGCATGGGATAATGAACATAGGGTTCAATGGAATAATTCAAATGTAGTCCTAAAAGAAACGGATGGTAAAAAAAGAAAAATCAAAGAAGCGGCTCTAGTTATGCTAAGTGAGGCCAATTGTGTCGCAAATTCCTCGGCAGAATGTAGTAGGATCTGGTTCCTGAAAGAGGAAGTTATTAATAAGAAAATACCAGTATTAGTAAGTCAGTAACATATAGAGGATACATCATTTATGTTTTTTAAATAACGTAACATATAAAATCAGAATTTTGATGTTTGTTGAAGGTAAACTAAATTCACGAACAAATAATTACAGTGCCGGGATAGTGAGGTTTTTTTTTCCTGGTTTTTCCCTCATAATTTACTATGGAATCACTAACAGAAGAATTTTACTGTCATCATGTGTTTGTCTTTTTAAAGACGAATTACATGCTATGATTTTTTTCTGACGGATATTCTCAAGTTAAAGTTTGATTTCATGTAATCGAATGAACTATCTTATAAGTAAAGTCGTCCCAGGAGCGCAACTCAACAATATTGGCAATATCATTTTAAAGTCGTCTACTTCAAAATGCATAATATATGTCTGAATTGTCAATATAAATGAGTCAGATAAAATTAAATTATTAGAAGAATTTTTCACTATGTAACAAAAAACAAAATTTTTTTAATTTACTGTTTGTATTTTGAGAACGATTTCCGAAGTGGAAATTGAAACGTCAATAAACGTATTTTTATCTTTAATTATGGCTTATTCCCAGTTAAATAGTAATTAAATATCCAATATATGACACGCTGACAATACACCAGTGTTAGCAGATTGCACCGAAGACCTCCAACTTCTAAACGAACTAACCAGATTCTATTAAATTTATATAAAATTAACACAACTAAAAATTATATCATAGTCATAGGTCGATACAAATAACAAGCTAACATTGTTAAGCTACCGCAGGCTCAGATTGATCAAATGATACGTGTATTCTATCTTGTGTAGAATAGAGGCTTGGACCATGAACGTCGGTACAATGAAACGGCTCGAGGCCCTTCAAATATGGATAGACTCACTAGACGATTCTTAAAAGATCACTATACCAATTGAGCAAGCAGGTTTTAGACCAAATCGACGTTGCACAGACCGGGTGTTCTCTCTGTACTTACATACAGCTTTCAAAGAAAACTAAAGAGTTCTGCTGCGTTCATAGATCTGCCAGCAGTTTTCGACACCGTATAGCGAGAAGGAATGATTTGTAAACTCTTGCACTAAGATTATTTCAAGTAACTATAGGATCCGAAATAAGCACCCACAGAAAACTCAAAAATGGTCTGCCACAAGGGCTCGGTACTCGCACCACTGCTTTTAGCCTTTACATCGCAGACATACCGACAACAACATCAACAAAGTTTGGCTATGCTGATGTATATATATATATATATATATATATATATATATATATATATATATATATATATATATATATATATATAATCGGTTTAAAACGTCCTCCGACGTCTTCCGATGCCCAATCTCCATGCATCTCTATCTTCCCAAAGATCTTCGTCTAAACCTCTCTCTCAGATCTCTCTGTCTATTCCTTCTCTCCAGCTCTTTCTGGGTCGGCCTCTTTTTCTCTTTCCATGTGGTGACCAATCTATAATCTGTTTGGGCAGACGATGTTCTGGCATTCTCTGCACATGTGGATACCACTTTAGTTGTTGTACTCTTATATCTTCGACAATCGTATGTGTGACTCCCATAACCTCTCGTATACGTTCGTTATTAATTCTTTCGAGTTTTGATTTTCCTGCGGCCCGTCTCCAGTAGTCCATCTCCGTGGCTTGTAGTGTTCTTTCAGTAGTTGCCTTTAACTGCCACACGTCACTTTCATACATTACTTTGCTCTTTATAATAGTGTTGTATATTCGATGTTTGTTTTTTTTTTTTTTTTGATATATGTTGATCCCAGATAATACTATTTAGTTGAGATATCGCCCTTCTACCCTGAGTGTTTCGTTTTTTTATAGCCTGATCTGATTTGCCGTCGTCTGTGATTTCTACTCCTAAATAGGAATATTTATTGTTGTACTTAATGTGTTGTCCGTCGTTTAAAACTAGATTTTGTTCTTTACCACCGATGTTCATGTACATTGTTTTATCTATGTTGACTTCTAATCCCCATTATTTGTATTCTTCGATTAATTTTCGAGTCATGTATTCTAGGTCGTCATATTCGTTAGCAATCACAATTTGATCATCAGCAAAACATAGAGTGTACAGGTTGTTATTGTTTAATTGTATACCCATGCCGCTGCATTTCCGCTTCCAGAGTTTTAATGCTTGTTCCAGATATATTTTGAAAAGTGTCTGCGCTAAGCAGCATCCCTGCTTCAGTCCTTTGTCTACTACAAAACCTTTAGAAACATTCGTTCCTATTTTAACTTTGGCGTTGGCGTTCTCATATAGTTTTTCCACTGCTGTTATGAGATTTGAGTTGATGTTCGTTTGTCTGAGAGTGTTCCATAACTTATTTTGAGGGATGCTATCGTAGGCCTTTTTTAGATCAACAAACAAAAAGTGGACTTCTTGATCTACAGCAACCTTTTTTTCTATAAGTTGGGTGATACAAAAAAGGTGGTCTATAGTCGATCTACCAGCTCTAAAACCCGCCTGTTCTTCTGCCTCCATATCAGTGTATTCTCTTTCTATTCTATTTTTGATCATTTTCCCATAGATTTTACTAATGGTACTAGTAACTGCTATTCTTCGGTAATTGTCGCAATTTTGTTTGTTTCCCTTTTTATGTAAAGTTGAAATTGTTGAGGTTTTAAATTCGGCTGGAACCTCTACTTTGTTTTTGCAGTTTTGAAAGAGTATTGTCAAATGCTCATATAGTTTTTCAGTTCCATATTTTATCAGTTCTGAGGGTATATTGCCAGGTCCGGGCGCTTTTTTGTTTTTGAGTGAAATACAGATATCCCTTACTTCCTTTTTCCTGATTCTTATAGGAGATGCTTCAACGCGTATGTTTTGGTTACTTTCTTTTATTTTGAATTCCATATGAATATGCTGATGACTGGGCTTTATTAACCCAAACTACGTCACTAGAAGAAGCTGAAGAGATTCTTACGGAAGACCTAGAGGTTATTGGAAAATAATTTCAAAAATGAACTTCCACGACCGAATGCCTCCACGACCGAAGTAACTTGCTTCCACCTAAACAATCTGGCGTCAAGAACCCTTAACGTTCACTTTGATAACACACGACTCAAGCACAATAAACATCCAAAATATCTAGGCGTGGCCTTGGACTGAACGTTAAGCTTTAGAGAATATTTAAATACAGTTGCCGAGAAGCTAAAAACCAGAAATAACATCATCAGCAGAGTATGCGACACTTGGGCGAGAGAGTGTGACGTCACTGTCGGTAAGCGTTGAATCTGCATTATCGGCCGAGTATGAACCTTAGCCAGGACCGGGACCATTTGTTAACTGTCAGACAGTCAATTTTTCAACTGTTAATTCTTCTTCTTTACCGTAGCTAATGTCAGAACGAAGCTACACCGACGTTGAGGATATGACATAAGCATGACAGACATATTTGATGTTTAAAGATTTAAGACTGTCACACGTGTGAAAATCGTAATGAGTTGCATACTATATTTTATCTACGACGAACAAGTAATTCATTTTTAAAGTTGTTATTGTACTTCCGGTCTCCGATAAGAATATGTGTTGATCATAGAAGGTTCTTCGATAGTCATCAGGCAACAATTTCCCCTGATCATGTTTACAAAACATACGGAATCCACTATATATACTAACCCAAGCCGACAACATACTTTGCAGATATGGAATACCATCAACTTATAGGTTTATGTACAACTCCCTTCGTAAAGGTACACAGTAGGGATGTGTAGTTCACCATCGAAATAGTTCAAATGAACGATTCTTTCAACTGAACTAATTGAACTAGTTCATTAATTTTCATAGAACTAGTTCACTGTGAACCATTTGCATTATCAATTG